CCACGCCCGTGTACAAAGAGACTACCCATATCCTACCGGGACTCTGACCCTACGGATTGACAAGCATAGGACATGGACAAACCCGAAGGAACAACGAATCACCACCTCAACATAGCTCTACCTCTACTCATACAAGTTGTATGAATGAATAAGAATAAAGTTGCACATGTTAAGATCATAACACAAAAACTATATGCTAGTTTATATGTCAGGATTATAACATGAAAACTATATTCTAGTTCATATGCACTACTATGATAAAATGAGATTAAGACTTTGGAAGAATTCTTCATAGTATTCATACCAAAGATCCTTTCTTCCAAGGAGCCAAGCTCTCCTTGATAGCTTTGCCTTGCTCACAAAATACTACTAAAAAGTAAAAGAGTACAAGAATGTGGTAGTGAGGTAGAGGCTCCAAATGAGGTGTGTGTTGGGAGAGAGCTCCAACCCTACATTTATACTACTTTATGGTCGGTTTTGGTGTTGGTAAAATAGGAAACCGCCGTAGATAGCCTTTGCATGCCGCCATGCAACCGCCGGAGCAAGGTGGGCCGAGCCGCGCTGGGGGCGATGCGGTCGCATCCTGGCCTGGCCCGCTCGCCACCGCCTTGCTCCTGCATTTTATGATCTATCGGCTCCTGAACTCAATGGAGTACGTGTCGAGCTCTACTACCCACTTGATGATGCGGCCATTGGCCTCCTTGTTGTATGTCTTGAAGTAGTGGCAGAGCTTCCTAGATGTAATCAGAATGGCATACAACATCTGAACCTACAGATACCGAGTCTTAGACTCGTTCAGGACTTCGCTGATGAAGTAGACCGGGAGTTGAACCTTATATGCATGTCCAACCTCTTCCCATTCGACGACAATGGCTGTGCTGACCACACGGGTAGTTGCTGCGATGTAGACCAATAAAGTTTCACCTTCCTGTGGCGCTGTCATGATCAGAGGCATTGTCGGGAAAAGCTTGAGCTCGGCAAAAGCCTAATCAGCCTCAGGCATCCAGGCGAAACGCTCCTTGGCTTTAAGTAGCTTGAAGAAAGGGAGACCTTTTTCGCCTAGACGTGTATGAAACGGCTTAAAGCCGCCATACACCCTATTAGCTTCTGAACATCCTTGACGCAGGTCGGTTGTTTCATGTTAGTGACTGCCGATACCTTTTCAGGGTTTGCTTCAATGCCACAGCAGTTGACGATGTACCCTAAAAGGATACCGGATGGAACGCCGAAAATACACTTAGTGGGATTCAGTTTCCATCGGTATTTTCGTAGGTTCTTGAACGTTTCGTCGAGATCGACGATGAGATTATCGGCAGTCTTAATCTTAACCACTGCATCGTCGACATTGGCCTCAACATTATGCCCTATCGGCTTGGCAAGGCAGCGCTAGATGGCCCTCTGATAGGTGGCGCTGGCGTTTTTAAGTCTGAAGGACATGGTGGTATAGCAGTAGGCGCCAAATGGCGTGACGAAAGAAGTCTTAATCTAGTCGTCCTCCTTTAAGGAGATCTAATGATAACCAGAGTAGCAATCGAGAAAAGACAATAGTTCGCAACCGGTCGTGGAATCAGCGACCTCATCTATGCGAGGTAGGTCGAAGGGGTCCTTAGAGCAGTATTTGTTGAGATTGGTGTAATCAACGTACATCCTCCATTCTTTATTCTTCTTTTGTACAAGGACTGGATTAGCCAGCCACTCAGGATAATACACCTCTTTAATAAAACCGGCTGCTAAGAGCCATGTTATTTCTACCATAATAGCCTCTTTCTTGTCTTGCCTGAATTGTCGGAGCTTCTGCTTGATCGGGTTGGCGATCGGCGAGACGTTTAAAAAGTGCTCGATCAACTCGCGGGGCACCCCAGACATGTCTACTGGTTTCCACGTAAACACGTCTACATTGGCGCGTAGGAAGCTAACGAGCGCGCTTTCTTATTTGGTGTCGAGGTTGGCTCCGATCCTGGCAGTCTTGTTCTTGTTGCCAAAGCCAAGGTCCACCTCTTGGTCTCTTTGGACTTGGTTGATGCTCAGGGTGTCTCCACCGTCGGGATCTCCTTCTCCTCTACGAGGACCTTCTTGGACTCGGCGAGACAGCTCTCCATGCGTACCGAGAGATCGAGCGCCTCGGCAAGCACAAGGCTCTCTCTCGCATGCGTAGGCAACGGCGATGTTGGCCCGCAGCGACAGCACTCCTTCGGACGCGGCTTGCTGCTGTGCTAACCATTTCGAAGCATTCCGCATTTCCGCGCGTGTTTTCCTTCTCGGGTCTATGTTTCGAGAAAATTGCTCACAACTGTAGAGCTGGGATGCACGAAATCTTTGAATCTACACGCAACCGCGGGATGTACAAGAAGGTACACTTTTTTTAATGAAAAAGAAAGAAACATACAGTTAAACTTCTGAACTACTGTTTCTAAATGCTGGCATTTTTTACCACTTTATTTATTTGTTTTTGGAAGACAAATACTTGGCACTTCATGTTTCTGGAAAGACACTTTCCTATTTTATCTTTAAAATACTATGGAATAGAAATACTTCAAAGTAACTGCATAAGAGTATTTTTGTTTTTTATTCTACAAATGTGAATTACTTTTTTATATGAAAATATGTGGCTTACCTTAATTACTATTGCGCATTGCTCAAAAGTTGGCAAGGCAGGAGTATTGCCCTAAATCAGGACCCCTCTTGGGATTTGAGAGTTTTTTATTATTTTTCAGCCCTTAAATTTATACGCCAACTCTAGCAACAACTCTCAATTTTGAGCTCCTACCTTTTTTATAAGTGACCCTTATGTCAATTTCATGTGTTTTATTTCCTTTTTTTCTCCCATCTTCTATTGTTGTGTGGGGAGGGGCTTGCCGGGGAGGCAACATGGCGGAGAGGGACTTGCTGCGGGGATGTGCAACACGATGGGGGGCAGAGGGAGTCACTAGGGACAAGAGCCGGAACGGGTGGATTAAAAGCCTCCCTACTTTAGAGGCTTGAGTTGACTTAGGTCTTGTTTAGTTCCTCCCAAACTCCTAACTTTGACATTATATAAAAAAAGATTCTTCGTCACATCAAACTTACGGTACATGCATGAAATACTAAAAGTAGACGAAATTAAAAACTAATTGCACAGTTTGGTTGTACTTTGCGAGACGAACATTTTGAGCCTAATTAGTCAATAGTTGAACAATTATTACCAAATACAAACGAAATGTTACAGTGACACTACAGTACATTTTACCAACTTTGCACATCCAAAATTTGGCAACTAAACAAGGCCTTACGTGTATTATCTAGACCTTCCAATATAGGTTTAGGGACTAGAGTAAGAGCCTACTAGGGTCTATATAAAAACGGGGTTAGTAAAATCAAATTGCCAGAGGAAAATATACCAACACAATTACAATTTACAAAGTATGTTGGTGAAAAGAAAATGTCAATGAACGAACCGTTTAGGATCGTCCCTGCAAATACCTGGTACTAAAATACTATGGAATAGAAATACTTAAAAATAACTGCAGAAGAGTATTTTGGTTTTTATTCTACAGTTATTAAGTATTTCTATTTCATAGTATTTTTTAAATACTATTATCTAGTTGGCAAGCAGGAGTACTGAGCATCTCCAGCAATTGCCCTAAATCAGGACCCCTCTTGGGATTTGAGAGTTTTTCTTATTTTTCAGCCCTTAAATTTTACGCCAATTCTAGCAACAACTCTCAATTTTGAGCTCCTACTTTTTTTAAGTGACCCCTTATGTCAATTTCATGTGTTATCCTTTTCTTTTCATTTTCTTTCTTCTCCCATCTTTATTGTTGTACTAGGAGGGGCTCGTCGGGGAGGCGCATGGTGGAGAGGGGCTCGCCTGCGATGCAAAAAGAAAATGTTAATAAACGAACCGTTTCGGATCGTCCCTGCAAATGTAACACATGTAACTACAAAGCAAAGCATGTCCTCAATCTCTCAAAGTTTAGCTTTTGTTTTTGCAAGACCTCTCAAAGTTTAGCTCATTTGCCCTTGGAGAATCTATGGAAAAATTGATTTACTCCTAGCGAAACCTTCACTTGCAAAACTAGATAACTGACCACCCAACGGGAAGCGTACATCACTTTGCTCATTGCTGAGGTACTCCCTCCTAAAAACATGTAATTTTATCATATTGTCACGTTTTAGTTTCTTAAGTTTAACTAATTATAGATAAAAAAGTATCAATATTTATGATATCAAATAAATTTATTAGATTAATTATGAAATATATTTTCATAATAAATTAATTTAGAGCTATAAATATGAATACTGTTCACTAAAAACTTAGTTAAACATGTACTTTTTTTTTTACACATAACCCATAGTTACATGTTTTTATACTGAGCTGAGAGTGACACGGTCTCCAACAACCGGTGTTACATCAAGGGCACTGCAGTTATATCAGGGGCAGCCGTTTGGATTGTAGTGGCCCAGGTGGAGAGATTTGGAGCACCAAACGGGATGATTAGTTTGGTGGAAGATATAGTAGCTTGCAGAAATGGCGATACCTAGCCACCACGAGAGAACGTTTCAAAAAAAAAAACAGACCAAATAGAACTCGATGGCGGAACTGACAGGAAAGGCGATAAACAGATATTTTTCGTTATATATGCACCACGCCCAGCAAGTGCAACTTATGGTCCTCATACACAGACACAGTGCAGATGATGGCAACAGCAAAGGAAAATGTATGAGGAGAGTGGCGCCTGATGCCACACAAAGTCCCGATCACCGAAAGAAACACCACAAGAACAAGTACAAAGTAGAATTCAGACATTCGGTTCGGCATCAACAGGCGTGGACGATGGTTCATCACAAAGGATACAACCGGTACTTATTTGGTCACGATTTGAACATAGAAAACACACAGCACACTCACGACTGAGCAGTAACAATGCAGAAGAGGCAACGTCGCAACGATGGTCCAATGTCCAGAAGGTACACCCATCTTTATTTATGTAGCAAACACGCCCAGCAGAAGGCACTGGTGCTTAATCATCATAGTCGTGGCGGCGATGGTGGTGGTGCTTCTGATGACGCTGCTTCTTCTCATCATCCGAGTCATCATCCTACAAAGTGGCAACAAGAAAAGGTTACAATTGGAGAGAAATATGCTATTATATTTTTAGCACTTGGATTGTGTTTCTGCAATTCATGTAATCACTAGAAACAGAAAATTCCTTAACGAAATAGCATAGAAATTACTTTTGCCAACAAAGTGAACAAATAAAGTATATCCAAATATCAAGTTTGTACTGTGGATTGAACTTTGTTCAAAACACGATGTAAATTTGCAGATCTTATTTGTGCGGCCCAGATTATGTCTTACAAAATATATATTCCCTCTATTCAAAATTGTAAGACGTTTTGGCTTTTTAGACACATAGATAGATTTTACTATGTACCTACACATAGCGTAAATCTAGGCACATAGAAAAACTTATGCACCTAGAAAAGCCACAACGTCTTACAATTTGGATCAGAGGAAGCATTACACAACCATGCATTATACATTATGTTAAGTCCACAGCTCAAGCACAAGGTTGCATTCTTACAACAGAGTACTGAATCCAAATGAATAACCATCATTGATATTCATTTAGCCACAGTATTTTAGGTTGAGCTGAATACAGTCATACTATAGATTTCTAGAAACTAGAAACACTACACATAAGCGAATCAGTATTATCAAATGTACACAAAGATAAGATAGCTATATATATATATATATATATATATATATATCTTTGTATATATAATATATATATACTTATGTGTAGTGTTTCTAGTTTCTAGAAATCTATAGTATGACTGTATTCAGCTCAATATACACACACACGGTAAGGCTATTCTGCAGCTGACCACAGAATAACTTATTCTATGGCCACCTTGATTTACGATAATGTTTGTACCAATTTACGATAATGACAATACACATTTACGATACATGGGTTACTATAATTCAAGATGATACTTACCATAATGCTATAGTAAATCACTTATGAGGGAGTTACCATAATCTCGTAAATTAGTATAGTAATTATCGTAACTCAAAGTGGCCACAGAATAACTTATTCTGCGGCCAGCTACAGAACAGTACGTCTATCGGTAAGGCTATTCTGCAGCTGGCCACATAATAACTTATTCTATGGCCACAGAATAACTTATTCTATGGCCACCCTGATTTACGATAATGTTTGTACCAATTTACGATAATGACAATACACATTTACGATACATGGGTACTATAATTCAAGATGATACTTACCATAATGCTATAGTAAATCACTTATGAGGGAGTTACCATAATCTCGTAAATTAGTATAGTAATTATCGTAACTCAAAGTGGCCACAGAATAACTTATTCTGACATGCCTGAAACGATACGTCTATATATATATATATATATATATATATATATATATATATATATATATATATATATATATATATATATATATATATATATATATATATATATATATATATATATATATATACTGGCAAGAAGTTCATATAGGATCAACTTATAGACTTATAGAGCATGCTCCTAATATCTTGTTGACACCTTTTGACACAGTGATAAACTTCTCCCAGCACCTAAAACCTATATTTATATCAGCATCATTTATCTACAAGCTATCCTTTACCACCTAAAAGGCCCGTGTGATTTGGTTTTTAGATTCACAAGCTCTACTAGCTAAACAATCGACTACCTCAAAAGGCCATCCTATTCAAGGATTAGTAGGATAAGAGGTTATTGAACCACTATAAGAATTCACATTCACACATCTTAACCAAAGAGAAAGGATCTTACATCTTTCTTGCGGCCATAGTACCCCTCTCCCCCACCATAGCTTGGCCTCTCATACCCACCACTCTCATACTTGGACTGCTCCTCTCCATAACCATATGAACCCTGTGTCTCCTCGCCATACGGTTTTGGCTTCCGGTAACCACCAGAGCCATAGGCACCTTCATCCTCCTCAGATGCCTTCTTCTCATACCCATAACCAGAACCACCATAGCTCTGCTCCTCGTTCTTCCTGCCATAGCCATACCCCGAGGAACCATAGCTCTCCTCCTGAGTCTTCCTCCCATACCCACCACTGCCATACTCCTCCCCACCCTGCGGCCTGCTGCCGTACCCTGATCCATAGCTCTCCTCAACCTGCGGCTTCCTCCCGTACCCTGATCCATAGCTCTCCTCAACCTGCGGCTTCTTCCCGTACCCTGATCCATAGCTCTCCTCCACCTGGGGCTTCCTGCCGTGCCCAGATCCATACTCCGATCCGTAGCTCTCCTCTACCTGTGGCTTCCTGCCGTACCCAGACCCATACTCCGATCCGTAGCTCTCATCTACCTGTGGCTTCCTCCCGTAGCCAGACCCATAACTCTCCTCTGGCCGGGCCTGACCGCCGTACCCGTAGCTCTCCTCCGCCTGCGGCTTCCTCCCGTACCCAGATCCATACCCAGAGCCATAGCTCTCCTCCTCCTGCTTCTTCCTACCATACCCGGATCCGTAGCCAGATCCATAGCCACCGCCCTCCTCCGCAGGGGGCTCGGGCCTGGATCCGTAGCCGCCGCCGCCGCCGTAAGGCGGCTGCTGCTCCTGCTGGGGGCGGAACCCGTAGTTGGGCTTGGGCTTGGCGTGGTGACCGTACGGGGACGGCTCGGAGGCGGAGTAGTGCGGCGCGTCGTAGGAGGTGGAGGGTGCCGAGCACGGGTAGCAGGTCTCCTCCGACGGCGGCAGCGGGCGGCCGAAGGTGACGGCGAGGTCGTACCCACCGCCGTACGGCGTGGGGTCGAACTCGTCGAAGTCGTCCGCCTCCTCCGCGGGGCCGCCCCGGGGCCTGGAGCTCTCGTAATACGAGGTCGCCATGGCGGAGTCGCGGAATATGCTGGCTGGTTGATGATCAGATGGCAAGTGGCGAGCGAGGGTTTGATTTGGGGGCTTTGGTCTCGACTTCTGGAGTGTGGGCGAAGAAGGCCCGCGTGCGTGGCCGCTTATTGCTCCGTGGACTGTGGGAAAGCGCGTTGGAAGCTTGGGGTCGATGGGATCCGGGGAGACGTGAGGGCACGTGGTCCGGGCGGCGGTGGCCGGTGCGGGGTGCGTGTGCCACTGTGCCGCGTGGTGTCGGCAAGACAGGGACGCTGGATGCGCGGCGTCGGCGACGGCCGACGGGCGCTGCGCGGGCCAATTGGGTGGGTTTTCTGGCGATTCGCCAGTCTGGGTCTGACCGCGCGCGACTCGGGACCCGGTTCGTTTTACCCACTCTCCTGCAAAAAAAAAAAAAAAACTGTACGATTCTACTCCCTCCGTCTCCATTTATCTGTCGCTGGAGAGCTGGACTCAACAATCAAGGCAACTAGCAAAACCTTAACACCCCTACCGTAGCAATGATTCACATTCTGCAGTTTTGATGAATATGCCATTAATGTTACCTTTTGCTGTGAAACGCCCGCCCACACCACAGATTTTTTACACTAAACAAATCTGCATTCACATCCACTCGGCGGCAAACACATTTTTTACACGAAACAAATCAGCATCCACTCGGTCTAAAACCTCTATCCACTTTCACACAGTGCCTGTTTAGTTCCCAAAATTTTGCAAAATTTTTCAAGATTCTCCGTCACATTGAATCTTTAAACGCATGCATGAAACATTAAATATAAATAAAAAATAAAACTAATTACACAGTTTAGACAAAATTCACAAGACGAATCTTTTAAGCCTAATTAGACTATAATTGGATACTAATTGTCAAATAACAACGAAAGTGCTACAGTCCAATTTTCCAAAAAATATCGCCACCTAAACAAGGCCACAGACGAAGCAAACCAAAATTTAAAAGTACCGCCATTTCTCTACCAGCAGTGCCAATAAAGCCTGGTAACCCTTTCTTTGCATTCATTTTAACCATTCAGTTCTCATCCATCTCCCATGGCAATACTAGACTTAAACACACTACCAGAGGAGAGAGGAGGAGGTGCCAGATCTGAACACGATTCCTGCTGAACATGAACAAGAGGATCATGATCCCTTGGAAGATGTAGTGGCTGCAGTTTAAGTTGGGGGAGCTGACCACTTCGGTGTCCATCCTGCTGAGAATAATGAACAAGAACAAATTAATCAAGGTAAGCACATCTATTTCTATCCAAATTGAGTGTACGGGTTCTAATTCTCTCTATCCTCTCTCTCCTAGAACTAGTTGTGCTTATTTATTTCTATCTCCTAAAATCACAAGCAACAGCATGTGTTCTCTCTAGCCTCTCTCTCTCAAATCATAAATTAGTACGTGTTGGTTTAGTTCCTGGTTTAGTTCCTCTCTACAAAAATCATTAGCAACATCTAAGAATTTGTAGTGCTTATCTCTTACCTAAAACTCTTTTGCAGCATGGATCCTTATCCTTTCTCTGTCCTAAAATTAATATCAACTGGTTTAATCTATCTCAAATAAAATCACAGCCAACATTAGTGATCTTTTTTGTGTAAGCCATGCAGCTCATATTTGCTTCAAGTTCAAAATTAAATTGTAGCGAGAGGAATAACTCACATGTGTGGGTGACGATGCATTCTCATAATCATCAGCTTTCTGTACCAGGTGACAATGCTGGCCATCCATTTGATTTAAATGATCCACAGGAAGAAGACCAAGAAAACCTGCATGCAGGTGATTATTTCCCTCAGGTTCAAGTCATCTTTGCAACAATAATGTCCATGTGAAAAAGTTTGATAATCTTATGTGTAGCACATGTTCTCTCTAGTCTATCTCTCTCTCCTCTAAATTAGTAAGTGCTAGTTTAGTTCCTCTGTACTAAAATCAGTAGCATTAAGCTAGCATCTACTAGTAGCAAGCACGTACTAGTAGTATTAAGCTGGCACCTCAACTTGATTTCTCGTTTTCGCATGAACCATTAGGTTTCCATCCAACGAGCGTAGCTGCAGGCAGAGTATTCCAAAAGGCATCTAGTACAGTATACACAATGTAAAGTGCTAATCTGGAAAAAGGCGGGCATGCCTGGTAGTAGTAGAATCCTAGGTTCTAGATCTGAGTATCTTAATCGAGGATTTCAACTGAAAACTAAACAATGCGTGCGTGCGTGGTATACAAGTAGCAAGTACGCACCCAGTCTGTTTCACGAGCGGCGAGCTTCTGCGGGTCGGATCGAACGCCGTGCTTGGCCCCTCCGCTTTCGGATGGTCCTCGGCGGTGTCGCGTGGAGGAGGGGCCCGCGCTCCCGGATCCCGTGGCCCGGCGCAGGATGGAAGGGAGAGGCCTGGCCGGAGGAGGCGGCGGGCTTGACAGCATCGCGCGGAGTAGCAGCCTGCGCTCCCTGCTCTAGTGGCCCGGCGCAAGAGGATGTCGGCGGAGGGGAGTCGTCGGAGGGCGGTCGTGACGGCAAGGTTGCGGATCGGGAGCCGTCCAGGTTGGGGATGTGGCCGTGAGATTTTTTTTTGAAAAAAAAGGCCGGAATTTTGCGTGGTGTGTGAGGCTGAGCCGACCCAAACATGAGTGTCTAGGTCACGCACAGCGAAGAAAAAACGCAACCCAAACCGACGAACTCCAACAGCGAACCCAAACCGACGAACTCCAACAGCGCCGCCCGCCTCTCACCCCGCCGAGCGCCGCCCGCCTCCACTCTGGCCTCCTCCTCGCTCGCCTCCATGCCGGATCTGGCCGAGGAAGGAGGGATCCGACCGCATGCCGTCCCATATGCCTCGATGTGCCTCGATCCGCCTCCATCCGCCGCCGGAGCTCGCGAAGCACGCCGCCGAGGCGCTCGGCGCCCGCTGCAGGGCCCCCGCCGCCGGAGCGCGCAACACCCACGCCGGGGCGCGCGAACCCCGATGCTAGAGGGAGACGCGCGCGAGGTGGCCGTGGCCGAGCTCGCGGACGAGGTGGAGGTGCACGAGGCGGAGCACGCCGTCGGGCGTGGCGGCGCGCGCCACGGCGAGGTGCGCCCAGTGCGGGGACGCGGAGGAGGAGTGTGGGCATGGGGAGAGCGACGTGGAGGAGGAGAAGGACGGCAGCGATAGCGAGCTCCGCGCGCTGAAGGTGGTGGCGGTGGTGAAGGACGAGGTGGAGGCGGAGGCGGTGGAGGTGAACGACAGGTCCAGCGCGCCGGCGCCGGCGTTCGCGAGCGCCGGGAGGGAAGTGCGGGGAGAGGGCGGCGTCGGAGGAGAGCGAGGAGAAGGCGATGCAGTTTTGGGTTGCCTCTTACCGTGGACGCAAAATGGGTAATTTATTTGCGTAGTCCGTTGGAGGATGTTTTTTCCATGTATACGACGCATTTTGGGTATGGGTCATGGGATGCGTAGTCTGTTGGGGAGGGGAAGTGAAATCTCTAGTTTGGTTTTGGTGAATTGATGAAACCTAAGTGCTAACCTAGTTTATCAAGTGATCATGAAATAGGTAGCACATTCCAAGTGGCGAAGCAAATGAAGATCATAACATGATGATAGTGATGCCAGGGTGATGATCAAGTGCTTGGACTTGAAAAGAAGAAAGAGAAAAACAAAAGACTCAAGGCAAAGGTATAAATGGTAGGAGCTATTTTGTTTTGGTGATCGAGACACTTAGTGAGTGTGGTCATATTTAGGATTTATAGCCGTACTATTAAGAGGGGTGAAACTCGTATCGAAATGCGGTTATCAAAGTGCCACTAGATGCTCTAACTCATTGCATATGCATTTAGGATCTAGTGGAGTGCTAACACTCTTGAAAATGTTTGTGAAAATATGATAACACATGTGCACAAGGTGATACACTTGGTGGTTGGCACATTTGAGCAAGGGTAGGAAACTTCACCGGCGGAGTGTCCGCCCGTAGAGTACGGACAGTCCGACGGTGCCACCGGCGCCCTAGACAGAAAAGACGAAGGTCACTAGAAGTGACTGGACGTTGGTCTCGGTTGGACCGGCGCGTCCGGTCAGTGGCAGCAGAGGGCGTGCGTTTCGGTCTCATGACCGGACGCTGGGTCACTCAGCGACCGGACGCTGAAAAGGTGCGTCCGGTCATGCTGACGTGGCAGCACAAAGGAAGACACCATGTGACGGGACGCTGGCTGTGTCCGGTCAAACATGACCGGACGTGTCCGGTCGAGAAAAATTGTTTCTGGATCCTTACGGGAAACGACCGGACGCTGGGGGTTCAGCATCCGGTCACTTTTGCTGCAGCGTCCGATCGTCCGATAACCGTTGAGATCGGGCGTTCAGCATTCGAAGAGAGGGGACACGTGGCTCGCATCGCATGACCAGACGCTGAGGTCCAGTATCCGGTCAATCTGACCGGAGCGTCTGGTCGGCCCGTGTTCAGTGCAGTGAGGAACCCAATAGCTCTATTTCGTGGGGGCTTCTATTTAAGCCCCATGGCCGGCTCAAGCTCACTCTCTTGGCCATTTGCATTGACATAGCAACCTTGTGAGCTTAGCCAAAGCCCTCCCACTCATCTCCATCATTGATTCATCATCTTTGTGAGATTGAAAGAGAATCCAAATACATTGTTTGAGTGTTTGCATCTAGAGGCACTTGGTGTTCGTGTTTTACTGTGGGATTCGCTTGTTACTCTTGGTGGTTGCCGCCACCTAGACGGTTTGGAGCAGTGAGGATCGTCGAGCGGAGGGTGGTGATTGTCTCCGGCTCCGATCGTGGTGATTGTGAGGGGTTCTTGACCTTTTCCGGCGGAGAGCCAAAGGTACTTTAGTGAATTGCTCGTGGCTTGTGTGATCCTCATCTTGTGTTGGTTGTGTGGCACCCTATTGAGGGTTTTGCGTGTGATGCCAATTAGCGCGTGAACCTCCAAGTGAGTGAATCGCCACAACGAGGACTAGCTTGCCGGCAAGCAAGTGAACCTCGGTAAAAATTATTGTGTTCATCATTTGATTCCGAGGTGATTGGTCTTCATTGGTATTCATTCTTGTGATTGATTAGCTACTTCCTCAACACGGCGGTATAAACATATTGCTCACTCTCTTTACATTACCGTAAACTAGTTGTCAAGCTCTTTAGTGTAGCTAGTTGTGAGAGCTTGTTAGTTTGATTAATATGGCTCTTTAGTTAGCCTTTGAGAGCACACTAACTTAGTGTAGTAGCATAACTATTGTGTGGATAGAAACTACATAAACTAAAATTATGATAGGTGGCTTGTAATTTTAGTAGGCTAGCGCAACACTTGCTTTGCCTTATAATTGTCTAACCGATTTGTTAAGTGTTGTTATAGAAATTTTTATTAGGCTATTCACCCCCCTCTAGCCATTAGAACCTTTCAGGAAGGGTTAAGACTGCCTTGGTCGACCGCATCAAGGTGGCGGTACAGCTACGGCCTAGCACGGTTTAGTAGGCAACGACAAATATTCTGGGACAGGCTACTGTCGCCTGCACGATAGATATTGCGGGATGGAGGGAGTAACTTTGTACAAGTTAATTATTTTATCTTTAAAATATATATATAATATTTATGAATTAAATAATAATAATTTATTTATTATGAAATATACATTGATAGTATATCTATTTATAGTTCTAATCTTTAAAAATATATTTTTTAAAGAGGTAAATGCACCAGAGATCCATTAACTTGTGAGGAGGTTTTAGTTAGGCCCATTAACTTTCAAAGTGGCTTTTTGGGTTCATAAACTTAGTATGTTGTATCACTTAGATTCATATCCCTCTACATAGACTTCTCGTGCTGACGTGGCCTGCTGACTTGTCCTTCTAAACAACTATTGACCGTTGGTTTCGTCAAACATGCTGTGAGCATGCAAGCAGGTGCCGCTGCGGGCGCGCGAACAAGCCCACCGCGGCCACGCTCTTCGCCGGCGGCAGGTGCCAGGTGGGACGGCCCGCCGCTCCCCTGCTCGCTCCCGCGCGCCATCCCGCTCGACCTCTCCCGCATCCCGCTCGCAGCGCTGTCCTCTTCGCCCCTGGCCTCCCCCTCCACCTCCTCGTCCCCGCTCCCCGTCGTTCGCCCGATCACCCCGTCCTCACTCTGCTCCGCCATCCACGCGCATGCCCACCCGACGCCCTGCTCCGCCGCCCCTGCACCCACCACGGGAGGAGCTATGATGGATTCCCCCACCTCCGTCATCGAGAACCACCACGCTGCCGCGCACCACTCCGCCGAGCTCCCCTCTTCCCCCTCCGACGACGAGGGCACCGGCGCCGGCGACGGCGGTGGCCCCGAGGCGCTGCCGCTGAAGCCCCGCCACCACCAGTACACGGTCACCTTCGCCAAGATCAGCGGCTCCCTCCTCCAGTCCTCTGACGACGAGGACGAGTATGAGGAGGAGGACGAAGATGACGGTGCCGACGCAGGGGACGCTCGGCCCCGCGCTGCTGCCGGCCAGTCGAGCGGCTCCCTCTCCCCCGCTCACTGGAGGGGCGGCAGGACCCGTGGCTGCTACAGGTGCGGGAAAGGAGGCGGCTTTTGGGTCCGCGACAAGGAGTCGTGCCTCGGCGGCGGCGTGTCCGACGCGCTGACGGAGGCCGTGGTCGCCAACTTCCTCTGCCTCAGCGCACTCGAGGCTAACAAGCCCGTCATCGGCGCGTCCGGTGCCGTGCCATTCCTCGTGCGCGCGTTCCAGTCCGCTGTGTGCTCCTCCACCGAGCAGGCGCGCCATGACGCGCTGCGCGCGCTCCTGAACCTCTCCATCGTGCCCGCCAACGCGCCGCACCTGTTGGCGACCGGGCTCGCGCCGGCACTGGTGGCTGCCGTGGGGGACGCCGCCCCCGTGACGGACCGCGCGCTCGCCGTGCTCTGCAACCTCGTGGCGGCCTGCCCTGAGGGCCGCCACGTGGTGAGCCGCGCCCCCGACGCGGTGTCGTCCCTCGTCGACGTGCTCAACTGGGCCGACGAGCCCGGGTGCCAGGAGGTGGCCTACGTGCTCATGGTCCTGGCGCACCGGAGCTACGGTGACCGCGCGGCCATGGCTGAGGCTGCCGCACTAGACGGCCTTGGGGGAACACACTCACAAGAACGACGGAGGCCCTGCCTGATGGCCTCGCTTCCCCTTGCGGCTCCATCTGTTATATCCCACGCAGGCACAGGGCAGAGCAGGGGGCGGACGACGGACAACGACGATGCGGGGCTCCTCGTGTGCGCACATGACCACGCAGCACGCGGCGGAGGCGGGCGTGGCCACGGTCGGGTACTCGGGTGCGGCTACGACCTGACAGGGGACCTCCGCCTGTGCCACGCCAAGCCTGGTGGCTGCCTCGTGGACCTCGACGCTGCCAGTGCGGGCCCTGACGTGTCCCCGCGGGAGCTGGCGGGTGTGCCGGCTGGGGTCGTCGTTGACAAGGGTGAGCGCACATGGTTCCGCACTACATTCCGATGTGCTCCCCTTCGCCGAGATGGCGGAGCAGGTGAACCGGTCGCTGTCACCGCGGTTGCAGCCACGACGCCGCTGCCACACGCAGCCTCTGCTTCGATGCCCGCCTCGTCGAGCTCTACAACGTCCTCAGGGACCGAATCAACCAAGCAGAACCTCCCGCCCTTTGAACGCATGCAAGAAGCTAGCTAGCTGGCAAGACTCCAGAGGCCATGCATCTGGTCTCGCCGGCGATGGAAGCATGGCTACATCCAGATCGTCCGTCCACCCTCGTTGCAAGGTCGCGGACGACGTCTCAGGCGTCGTGGCGACGGTGTCGGCGCCGCAGGAGCGCAGGTGCCGTGGGGAGGAGGAGTCGGTGGACGGGGGCAGCTAGCAGCTCGCACGCCCATGTGGCCGCAGTAGCGGCAGCGGCACCTGCTTGCGTGCTCACAACGTGTTTGACGAAACGAACAGTTAATAGTTACTTTAGAAGCACAAGTCAGCAGGCCACGTCAGCACGAGAAGCCTATGTGGAGGGATATGGATCTAAGTGATACAACATACTAAGTTTATGGACTCAAAAAACTACTTTAAAAGTTGATGGACCTAACTGAAACGTCCTCATAAGTTAATGGATCTCTGGTGCATTTAACTCTTTTTTAAAACATATAGAATTGCATTGTTTTTGGAACGAAGGCCACAGCGTTGCCTTGTGCAGTTGTGCTTATCGGTTGGCGTATGGACAACGCAGCACTAGCACAAACATCAAGATGTCAAATCTTGATGATCGAACAAACTAGCTAAACGGGTCTAACTATCAACAAGCTGTTAACATTTGGCACCATCAACCGGACTACAACCATCTGCGAGGCCATTAAAATCAGCATTGGTTTTCGACAACCGACAACGTAAAATAACGGGAAGCAAATCTCAACTCTTGGCTCTCTCAGCTAAAGTTCCATGAATTATGATCAAGACATAAGATTTGTCAAGGAGCAACTGAATTGGATGACCAGAACAGCTAGCACATGAAAAGGAGTAGGACTGTAGGAGGAATTGCGAGAATTTTCTTTTCAATTCAAGAGTGGGGAAGGGGAACGTATTTTAAAAACTGTGCACCAGTTGTACTTTCAGTCAGTGTTCTACTCTGAATATGACATTCATTGCACACCAGAATAAAAGAGGGGAAAAATAGATGCTCTGCATTTTTCCTAACGAAAAGAATGATGATTTTAAGTACAAAGGACATATTTTTCTTTTGTAATCTGACTGTCAATTACAACAGATTTGTTGAGACGTGATATACACAAGGGCCTGCAAGCGAACCAACAATTTCATCACAAAACATTACAATTTGACGGGGCCTTGAAGATGGAATACTTTGTCATTAGTTCGAGGACTAACAAAAGTAAGGCCTGACTGAACACAAGACGATGAACCCGCTCTACATGTCAACTTCTGACTCCAGTACACCATTGTGCCCACAACACTATTATGCACTAACCTTCGCAAGTTTCCTTTTCAATTCTTTTCTTTGGCTTTCATGGATCTGTGTTATTTGGGTTGGCTTTCTTCAGACAGACAGGTTCCGCTGGCTTCAATGGAGAACCAACGTTGGAGGCAAAGGACCAAAATTTCACCTGTTCTTCATCAAATACGCATTTTGGCGTACTGTACAAACCAATGGTAATAGTTACAGATGGCCAGTTGCTTGAAGCTGGGAAGGCAACACAAACCAATGCGCTCTTTTTTGGTTTGTGTTGTCAGCTGATACTGACCACTATATTCTTAATCATCTGTTTGCTGTGCCCGCTTCCTGTTAGGTTGGTTGGCAGGCATGTTTTTTAACAATGGTCTCAAAGTGCCCATGATCTCTGAAAATGATGGCCGCATCCTTGGATCTCTGCACGAAACAATAAACAGAACATAATTGAGACAATAAGTAGGGTGCATAAAAGATTGGTAAAGACAAAAAAATTATGGTTCAATTTAAAGAGAATGAAATTAAGTTTTTCTGAATATCTTGTTATTTTAAGTAATAAAGAACTATTCTGTTTTATCTCTTCACACACAGTTGATTTTTTTTTCAAAAGATAATCCAGTGAAGCATAAACTGAATGTGGATCCTGAGTAGTCGTCTTTACTTTGACAATTTCACAGTAGTAATAACGTGACAAACTTTACCAATTTATGATGTAATGTAAATAACTACACATCTGATGCCTCAACAATTTATATGAGTTAACATCGTATAAATTTCAAACTCCATTGCAGCTCAGCAAGTTAAAGCATACTAACGTCTGCCAGCATCTCTTGATTATCTCTGCTACAGCAGGATCCACACCGCCTGGAATATCAAGCCTTCGTTGCTGAAAACCAACAGCTCCAACAACCTGCATGGGATTCATACCTTCCCATGGCTGCAGCATTGTACAGAGTTCCCATAATATGACCCCATAGCTGAAAACATCGCATCTGAAAACAAGCACATAATGCATTCATCAATCACAAAACCATTTGGAATCAAAGACAGCGACATGTAAAACCTACTTCTCATCTGATGGTTCATTTCGAAGTACTTCTGGTGCCATCCACTCCGCCTGCATTTGATGTGTAGTGCAGGCAGTTAGCAGCCTCTAGAATTATTTAGCCTAAATCAGAGTTTTTGGCTAAGCAAATTAACCGCATATGCAAAAACTTATAAAAGAATGCTGATATGGCATCGTCAAAATTCCGTGTTCTAACAGGAACAAGAAAAAAATCAGGAACCAGCTAAATATGGTAAATGGTAAATGTTTCAGGATCTAAAAATTCTCTTCAGTCTATCTCTCATTCTCATGCCCACATGGATGCAAATATAGTCTGTAGAGTAAACTATAGCATAATCAAAAGACAAACCACACATGCAAGTTCAGATTGATATCAAGATAAAGTGAATTATGAGTTATATACATGCTTCCAGACCTGTCCAATACGATTACCCCCAGGCCCCAACCCCTCAAGCTACACAACTTAATATCTCTGCATATGTTTCAAAATCTAGCACTCGTTTCCGATCTATTTCATCCTCATACCCACATGAACGCAAATATAGTATGTAAACCATGGCATGATCAATAGATAAACCAAATGTGCAAGTTTACATTGATGTCAAGATAAAATGAATTTTGAGTTTAAATATAGGTCTCTAGGCCTGGCCAACGATTGCATGCCCCAACCCACACATAACAATTCAAACAAAAAACTTAGCTGATGGGGGAGTGGTGGACACTGGACAGTTCACTTATTGTTAGAAGGCTGATTGGTGGGAAGCCTCTGGCAAATTGGTATCACTGTCCAGGACACAATGCCTAGCGACAAGATCCTGACACCTGAGGAGCACTGGCGTGCGAGGGGAAGGTCATCTTGCGGTAGCAACGTATCGTCATGGGCTGCTACGGCTAAGTCAAGTCCTCGAGGGGCAAAGGAGTAGGTCGGTGCTGGTCCGCTGGCGCCATGAACATGGAGTCATGACCTCTTGGATGACATAGCTGGAAACTGATCTGCTATACGCCGCTCTGTCGTTGAGAAATTTGCGTGCGGCCTCAGCAGCCACACAGTATGCCTCTTGCTTGAGGGGCCTTCTTCCCAGTATTACGGCGCTCCCGTTCCTGCTTGCCGGTGTCATCGATCTAGCTGATATTGGCCTTCTCCAGGATGAAACTAGTTTCACCCTGGTCTCCATGCCTTGCACTTGTTCCAGAAGGGCTGGGAGACCAGAAAGCTTGGACAGCAAACTGTCGAGCTGCTTGGCCTGCTGGTCATCCTCTTGTTCTGCTCCTTCAACACTGCCCAGTACTTCTTCAGGCATTGGGATCTTGTCACCGACTATTGATGTCTTGGACGGTGATACCAATGTGTCAGAGGGCTGATTGGTGAGAGGTGGAAAGCTTAATGTCCCAGACAGTGGCACCAATGTGTTAAGAGGGCTGATTGGTGAGAGGCGTAAAGCGTAGATTGTAGCCAGAGGAGATGGTGGGACGGGGCACAGGATGTCATTTGCGACCCGTTCTGCGGTGGAGGGATGGCTGGTGGCTAGGGCATGGAGAAGGGGGAGGCGGTGGTACTATTCATGATAAACAGTGTGTACAGCCGCAAGAAAACAGGAAGGCACAGAGGCGAAAGGGTGAGGGTAATAAAACCTCTAATTCTTTCTCAATTTAATTGAGTACATCCCCTAAGTTTTTCAGTCCTCTTAGACTTAACTCATAAGCAAACTAAGGATGGAATCCTTATAGCAATGATCATAGTTTCCATAAACCGAATGAATCACCAATTCTACCTAAACTAGGTACTCTTTAGGGCAACTCGTTGGTGGGTCCGATAGAGACTGATATATAGGGGGAGGGCACGCCTAGGGGGTTGGCTGGGCTACCCTGGGCTGCTGGCTACCGTCGAGGCCCGCTACACTTAAATAGTTCAACACTTGCTCTCTTAGGCCTCGTAAATGCAAATAGGAGCGAGCAACAATTATTATGTTTGATTGCACTAGCTTGGATTCAAACTTGAACTCTATTCAATCGCATGAACCAACCAATTCAACTCAAAAGCTTAAACTGATGGCAAGTAGTGGATAATTCACTTATATACTTTGGCATCAATTGTTTTCCTACTATCAGGATACGTATGGTTATCCTATACATATTCACATCACACATGATAGAAATGCGTTTTACATATGAGGTATGGTAAATATAAACTTGGTGCTTCCGAGAACAAGTTTCTTATATTATAACAAATGGAAAATGTTTGATTTAATATTATTGTGCAAGCTTACTGTTCCAGCTGTAGATCTTGACGAGAGGAAGGTACTATGTTTCAGACGTGATAAACCAAAATCACAAACCTAAACAAAAGACAAGTGATAATGGTTATATGTCTAGAAATCCCCAAAAATTCAAAGCATACCACTTTAATGGACCTACTTATTACCTTCACAACCCAATTTTTGTCAACAAGTAGATTTGGAGACTTCAAATCCCAGTGAACTATGACAGGGGTGCAATTGTGTAAATAATTCATACCACGCGCCTGTGGCAGACAACAACCAAGTATTAAAGAAGAATAGTTGAAGTTCTTAATATGAATTAACACAACCAAAGGCAACTTAAGTGTACCACATCAAGTGCCATCCTTAAACGCCTTTTTTCATCCAACTGGTTATTGGGCCGATGGATTAACCGAAATAAACTACCCCTGCATTGCCAATATATAGTTAGCAATCGTACATTTACGCGAGTTAACTTGTATATAAATAAATACTCCCTCCATCCCAAAATAAGTGTACATCTCGCAATTCGAGAAGTCAATAAATCTTAAGTTTGAACAAATATGTACAAAAATATTACTAACGCTTATGATGTCAAATAAACATCAGTAGGTTAATCACATTATATATTTTCGTAGTAAACATATTTAGAGATACAAATATTAATAATATTTTCTATAAATTTAAGTCAAACTTGAGATTGATTGACTCCTCGAAGTGTGAGACGTGTACTTATTTTGGGATATATGGAGTAAAGACAAAACATAATGATTTACAGCCATGATAACCTATACCTGAATAATGCTTTACCATACTACAAATGCCTACATCTTGTACTCTCACTACAGTCCTGCAATGTATTCCCATTTTGAATTAATTCTTATACATCCTCCTCTCTATTCTCTTCTTAATATAATGAAGCGCAGCTCTCCTGCGTTTTCGAGAAAAAAAAAATCCTCCTCTCTATTTTCTGTTAACTGCAGTGTAAACTTGGTAGACCCTATGGGCACAACTTCCCATTTCCTTAATAGCATATCAATGCACTATTCCGAAAATTTACAAAGTGCATCAGTAGTTTTGCATAGATATGAGCAAATTCAGTGTAGGTGAGAGGCTGATATTAAACGATTGTTTGACCACTAACAACTTTCTAGGAAGAGTACTTTGGTCATTTTAAAAGGACTGTCATTGACCAAGATGGACCAGCACAAACTTGAAAGGCCATCGATCGAGAGCGTCATATTTGTACATGAGGGATTGTCGGATTAGCTTTGTCAAAAAGAATCAATGGATATGAATCAACTATCAAGCAAAAGTAACAAAGAATCAACATGGGAGAAGAAAAGCCACTTGATAGAGGAGCTCAGAAGGATGGCAGAAGTAAGGAGTGTAGATTGTTGCCTGAGGGTTGTAGGTTAAGTAGTCCAGTTAGATGACTTGATGATTATACACCCCCGGGCCCCGGCACAAGTAACAACAGAGTAGCTTTGAGGTTTGTGAAACCTTTTCACATTTTTTACTTTGGAAAGATTCATTAGTTTAACCACAAAATCAGCATCTCTATAGGACACTACATGTTACATTCATTAACTTCTTGTTTTTAATTGAACACACTTCTTTGAGAAAACACAATAGAGAATTAATTAACAGAGATTCGCAGTATCATTATCATTATCCATGAAGTAGTCAAAGATTCAAAATCTAATATAATATTTGAACAACGACGCAAATCGGTACCTTGGAAGAAATTCAGTCATGATGGAAAGATGAGGAACACGAGTGACAGCACCCATAAAAAGAACAACATTAGGATGACGCAATCTTCTCATTATTCCCACCTAAACAGAAATAAATAGTGCTATGAATAAGCATGGAAATCTTTGGAGAAGAGTTGAATAATCATAACAAAGCAGACACTCCGGTCCTTTGCGACTACGTCCTGCTCTAGGAAAAGCTTGAGGGTGTGCAGCTCCAGCCGACCGTACCGGATCGCTTCATTTGGAGGTGGACAGCGGATGGATCTTACTCCGCCTCTTCAGCCTACCGATCATACTTCTAGGGCATGACAATGTTGATCGAAGCCAAGCACCTATGGCGCGCAAGTGCGCCGCCGAAGGTGAAATTCTTCTTTTGGACGGTTCTTCACGGACGGATTTGGACTGCACAACGCCGAAGAAGGCATGGCTTGCTGGTTGATGATGCTTGCGCCCTGTGCGCCCAGGGGGCTGAGTCTGTTGATCACCTCCTCGCCTCATGTGTGGTAGCGCGCCAGGTTTAGCAACGCCTTCTGCACCACATCGGCCTTCAGGACCTAGTGCCGCAGCCCACCTCCATTCTCTGCGATTGGTGGCAGCAGGCGCGCAAGAAGGTCCCCAAGGTGGCCAGAAGAGGTCGATTCGGCTGTCATGCTCATCACATGGAACCTCTGGAAGGAGCGCAACCGCCGTACCTTTGATAGCGTGTCCCGGAGCGTTACCCAGCTCTACCACCTCATCTTGGAAGAGGCAAATGCCTGGGTCAGTGCTGGGTTCCCAGGCCTCTCGTCGCTGCTCGCGCTCCAGCAGTCCTAGCCCGTTCGGCTACTACCGGCTTCAGTCGCACTAACCTTTCCTTAGTTAGAACACCAGTGCCAGTTCCACCGTTCATCCGGTGCCTTGTGTTTGTGTGTTTACCCCTTCACCATTTGGCACCTCGCTATCCGGTGATGTTGGGCGTGTATCTAATTTTGAGCTCCCGCTCTGTGCGGGGTCTGGGGAAAGGTGTCAGTGGCAAGCCTTACCCTCGCCTGTGCAATGCGAGGAGACCACGACTCGAACCCGGGACCTTCCGGTCACAGGCGGTAAGACTCTACCGCTTGCACCAGGCCCGCCCTTCTGCTATTGGGGTTACTAATCAAATAAAAAACATTTAGGGCAAAATGCACCTTAGCCAAATGGAAGCTCTGTGTATCTATATAACAGTCTGATGGGCCCAAGATTATTGGTTCAACCGTCTGATGGTGATTTGCTCAAGATTATTAGTTCATTCAGATTAAGAAAATAAATCATCACATTATAAAGCTAGCACTTCCATTTTGCAGCCTTCAAATATTTAAAGTGTGAAAATTCATATACCTCGGTTCTAAATTCTTCCAGAGCATCACTTGAAATATCTTGTTGCAAGAATTTCTTGACCGCAACTTCCTACACAGAAGAGCCAATTTCTATGATGCAACAGAAGCAGCACAAAATGGAAATGGTAGACTCCTATTCACAATGCACAGGGGAAACAAATGAGCTCTGTTTACGTTATCTAATCAATCATTTGTAGGCCTCTTGCTTTTAAGTTTTAACATTATCACTCAGTGAATAAGTCGAAGCATCTACAGTTCAGATGAGACCACCCAATACATCTAGTTGTGGTTGTTAGAGTATTTACTTCCTCTGTTCTTGTGCCGCCATCTTCTGGCTGGCTTAAGCCCTTTGGGCTCTCCCATGTATGCATTAATCTCCTCTAGATATGTGCCACCTCTTCCAGGCTGGCTGGCCCTTTGGGCTCTACTCCTTTCTATATATGTAAACCTCCTCTGTTATTCAATAATCAATCACAATAGCCTGTTAGGCTTCGTTCTATCATGGTATCACGCTAAATTCGATCCCCACCCCACCTCTTCCGCACCTCTCCCCTCGGCGCCCGCGCCCATCTCCTCGGCCCCCGCGCGACCCCTTCGTGTCGCGCGCGCACCGCCTCTGACGGCCGCCGCGCCCGCCCGCCCCCATGGCCGGCAACCCCTCCGCCAGCGGCATGACGGCCGCCTCCGCGGCTAAGCTCCGCGATGAGGCTCTGGCCGCCGCCAAGTCCCTGGAAGACGAAGCCATCTCCTTGCGCTCCATCAACAGCGCGCGCAGCAAGCAGCTCGAGGAGGAGGCCACACTCCTCAAGTCTGCCGCCGCCGCCCAGGACCGCGTCCGTGCTGCCGCCGCCGCCCTCGATCAGGAGCGCGCGCAAGCCGACGCCCTGGAGCAGCAGGCCGCCGCCCTTCGCGAGCGCCTCCGTGGCGACTCCCTCCGGGACGACTCCACCGTGAACGGCGACGACTTTTCCGTCAACTCTGAAGCAGAGGCCATTGCCCGCCTACACAGCCAGGCCGCTGCAGTCCAAAACATCAAGAACTTGATTCCAATCGTTCTGGACCTGCAGTCCTCCAACTACTCCAAGTGGCGCGGCTATGTCCTCCTCATCCTCGGCCGCTTTGCCCTAAAAGATCATGTCCTCAGCGACGTTCCTCGCCACACTGATCCGGCTTGGCCACGCATGGACGACGTGGTCGTGTCCTGGCTCTTCAACACCATCTCCCCCGACCTGCTGGACGTCATCCACGAGCGCGACGGGGTCACGGCTCGGGCTGCCTGGCTTGGAATCGAGCAGCAGTTCCTGAACAACCGCGAATCCCGCGCCATGCTGCTCGACGCCGAGTTCCGCACCCTCGCCCAGGGCGCCCTCTCCATCGACGACTTCTGCCGCAAGATGAAGGGTATGGCCGACGCCCTCGCTGATCTTGGCGAGCCCGTCAATGACCGTACCTTGGTGCTGAACATCCTGCGCGGCCTCAATGAACGCTTTCAGTTCATGGCCCAGCTCATCCCCCGCCAGAAGCCGTTTCCGTCATTCATCGACGTGCGGGCTGATCTGCGCCTTGCTGAACTCAACATGGCAACTCCCCCTGCACCACCGTCGGCCCTCGTCACTTCCTCGACCAAAGAAGCCGCCACCTCACCTCGCCACTTCCGGACCTGCTCCCCAGCCCTCCTCACCCCGGCCGGGGGGCCTTTGTCTGAGGCAACATGATCGCCGCCCGCCCGTGGAGGCCGCGGACAGGGTGGTCACGGTGGACAGGGTGGTGGTCCCAGTGGCCCCCCCGGAGGGTCCCAATGGCCTCCATCTTCAATCCTTGGAGGGGGTCCATTCACATGTGGCTGGCTCCAATCCGGTGGTTCCCGTGGCCTCCACCCCACGTCCGGCGCACAACAAGACCTGCTGGCCGGCCATGGCGCATGGCGCACAAGAGCCTCGATGGCGGTCTGGCTTTGTGCTGGCGCCCCCAGCAGCGCCTCACCGGCCTGGTCTCCAGCGCCACAGGCGCCCCCTTCTATGTGGTCGCCATCGCCATGGGATACTCAATCCCTCGCCAGCGCTTTCAGTACCGTCTCCCTCAACCCTCCACCGAGCACCTCGAACTGGGTGGTCGACTCCGGTGCCACCTCGCACATCGCCTCCAACCCTGGTATGGTCACCATGTCACCATCCTCTTCTTTTCCCCCCTCCATCGTGGGCAACGGTGCCACTCTCCCAGTTGTTGGCACCGGCTACTCTACTATTCCTGGTCCTTTTCGTCTGAATAACGTTCTTATCGCCCCTGCAATCATTCAGAACCTCCTGTCTGTTCGTCAGTTCACCACTGATAATCGTGTTTCAGTTGAATTTGACCCTTCTGGTATTTCTGTGAAGGATCTCCATACCAGGAACGTTCTCCTTCGATGTGACAGCTCCGGGCCCCTCTACACCCTCCAGCTGCCGTCTTCTCCTATCAGTCCCTGCACTCTTGTGGCAACACCATCATCGACTAGGCATCGACGGCTTGGTCACCCCGGCAAGGCTGTGCTTCAGAGCCTTGTTCAGTCCTCTTCCATCGCCTGCAGCAAGACCGAGGACGACTCCCTTTGTCATGCTTGTCAACTCGGGCGTCATGTCCGTTTACCTTTTTCTAATTCCTTGTCCCGTGCATCAAAAAATTTCGATGTTATCCATTGTGATCTATGGACATCCCCTATTATGAGCATATCTTGTTTTAAGTATTATCTTGTTATACTGGATGACTGCTCTCATTTTCTTTGGACTTTTCCTCTTCGCCTAAAGTCTGATACTTTCCCTACCCTCTCCAATTTCTTCACTTATGTGCACACCCAATTCGGCTGTACCATCAAGTCTGTCCAATGTGACAATGGGCGGGAGTTTGACAACTCCGCTTCTCGTGCTTTCTTTCTTGCCAAAGGGGTCACCCTTCGCATGTCCTGCCCCTATACCTCCCAACAAAACGGCAAGGCTGAACGCACTATCCGCACCACCAACAATGTCATTCGCACCCTGCTGTTCCAAGCTTCCATGCCCCCTTCCTATTGGGCTGATGCGCTTGCTACAGCCACCCACCTGCTGAACCGCCTCCCCACCAAGACCCTCAACATGAGCACTCCCTTCTTTGCCCTTCATGGCTCCCAACCCTCCTATCATGATCTCCGGGCTTTCGGCTGCACGTGTTACCCCAACCTCACCGCCACCACCCCTCACAAACTTGCCCCCCGCTCCTCCCTGTGCGCTTTTCTTGGGTACTCTCCCGATCACAAAGGCTACAAATGCCTCGACATCGCCTCGAATCGGGTCATTATTTCTCGGCACGTTGTCTTTGACGAGACAACGCTTCCTTCTCCACTCATCGAGCTCACCTCCTCCTGCTGAGCTCGACTTTCTAACCGACGACGCCTTGACCGGGTTGGTTGCCCCGACACCCGTCCGCTCCACCTCCGGTATCTAGCCTTCCTCGGCAACAGCCTTCGTCTCTTGGTCCTCAAGCGCCAAACCCACCGTCTCTCGGTCCAAATAGCGAGGTCGAATACTGGGGCGATTGCCAACGGCGTTCTTTGAGGCAACCTGGCTTCGCCAACTCCTGCAGGAACTGCACCAGCCACTGCAGATCCGCTTTGCCTCGTCTCTGACGACAACGTCGGCGCTCTACCTCTCCACCAACCCCATCCAAAGACCAAATAAGACCAAGCACGTGGAAATTGACCTCCACTTCGTCCGCGAACGGGTCGCTATTGGGGCTGTCCGTGTTCTCCACGTCCCCACCACGTCGCAGTTCGCTGATGTCTTCACCAAGGGACTCCCTTCGACTGTCTTCATGGAGTTTCGCTCCAGTCTGAACGTTCGTGCTAACGACGCTCCGACTGCGGGGGGGTGTTAGAGTATTTACTTCCTCTGTTCTTGTGCCGCCATCTTCTGGCTGGCTTAAGCCCTTTGGGCTCTCCCATGTATGCATTAATCTCCTCTAGATATGTGCCACCTCTTCCAGGCTGGCTGGCCCTTTGGGCTCTACTCCTCTCTATATATGTAAACCTCCTTTGTTATTCAATAATCAATCACAATAGCCTGTTAGGCTTCGTTCTATCAGTGGTAACTATCACAATGTGTCTGAAACCTTTTGTTTACAGAGAATTGTTCTCTAAGAAATTGTTGAAACACACCCTGATGACTATTAGATTGACTTAAAGGTGGATCTCATGTCAATTTATAGAAGTAATACCCCCCAGGCAGTCGAGGTTAGTGCCAGAGCTACATATGAGTCCATATATCACTGATATGGCTAGGAATCTGGGAATTCTATTGATGACTGGAAGGTGATTACAATGGCTGAATTACTAGAACAGCAGCAGTAGAGAGGATCGCCCTCCCTGGGAGGCTCTGATCTGCTAACTCTACTTCTGCCTGCCTCTAATCCCGGCCGCACTAGTGGTTATATTACCCACATGGGTGGCTGAGGACACTTCCTACTATTATTAGCTAATTGGCCATGCACTAGCACTAGAGGTAGCCGCACACCCACATGAGCGGCTGAGGACACAGCTAGCTGATCCAATTGACCAGGCTCTAGCCACTAGAGGCAGCCATATCCTTCTTCATCCTATTATACTGCTGCCCAATGAACGAGTCCACAACAATCACTGTGGTACTTAATTGCTCTAATATTAAGTTCAAGTGATATGATTTAGTGCACCCATGTGCCTAAGTTGCAACTTGCAACAAGATTTAGCACTACCCCTCAGGTATGCGGCATTCCTATAAAAAAAAAGGAGGGAACAGAGAAGTTCTTATGCATGTGGCCATGTGCAACAATGAATGAGAAGCATTATAGATTTTGACAAGGTGAAATGATGGGGATCATTTTGTTTCTTCACGTATTATTCTATTAGATTAGAAACTAATCTTTCTTCGTTACACTAGTTCCCATTTTACCATAAGTTTATGTTTATTATCAAAACTCGATCTTTTTCTAATTTAGCAATTTACAAATACTATGCGACAATGTAGATGAAAAACTTACTGTTCCATGCCATTCACCTCTATACACCTCTCCAAAAGATCCTGGAGAATTGGAGATAAAAGAGAGAGTTAGAACAGCATTGAAAAAACAAGGACAAGGAAGCATGATCACTTCTCAGAGTATGTTTTATCTTTAGCTTAGTAATACTGCAAATAAACTGAGTCAAATTATACAGGCAGGACTATGGAATTGAATTTGCTAAGATCAAGGGAATTGTACCCAGCCCAACTCGTTCTCCAAGGGTAAGTTCTTCCCACTGGATTTCAAACTCTGCAATTTCATCAAGAGCAATTTCAGATCTTGCGCTCTCTGTCCCAGTTGACCTATCAGAGATTCGCTCAGCTTCCTGAGGTGCTTGAACCGAATCCTTTTCATGCTCAAGGGCATTATCCTGTCCATGATTTGTTTCCAGCTGATCACCATCCAACAAGTCATGCCTACATTTTTGGATTAATTTATTTGATGAACTTGGCAAGCAAAGTAATTGACAACCAGGATCCAAGTATTCATATTGCTTGTTAACAGCAGCTGTCGTAGCAACAACTGCAGCAGCAGTGGCAGCTGCTGCAACTGGCACATCTAGTTTAATATCGCCGTTAGATTTCGCGGAAGCAACGACCATTGAAGATGCAACCACTGCAGCTGTTGCAACAGCAGCAGCTGTAACAGGCATTTGCTTTATAAGTTGTAATGGATTTTCCTGAGGTGCAGATGGTTCATATAGAGGTATAGAGGGATTAACGCTATCCCAGAAATCGAACTGATGGTAAACACCTAATCCCTGGACAGGCTTGAGGTCAGGAGGCAGCCAATAGGGAACAATCTTTGTTTGGAGCTCATGTCCAGGATGATGTGGTAATGAAGGACCAAGGCCAGCACAACCATCGTGTGCTGTGGATTCAAGCTCATTCATTGTCCTTATCATTTCATCCTTTGTTTGAAACATAGATGTGTCGTAAACAATCAGGTCCTTTGGTTGTTCCTTAGATTCTTCTGAAAACAAGTCGGGTGGTGGCACAACTCCACTTTCAAGTAATACAGCATGGATCTTTTCTGCTATCTGAGGGTTCTCTTTTGCAGCACTAATCATATACTCAGAGACATCTTTGACTTTCTTCCGTCGTACAGCTGGAGTACTGCCCATCTCAGAAGATGGAGGCGAACTTGATGATGAATTATTTGATGTGATCGACTTATCTTTGCCTTTTGCAGTCATGGTATGATCCGTATTAGATTCATGAATAATAGGCATGTTTTCACTTGCGTATGTGCTAACCGATAGCTCCTCAAATGAACTTGATAGCCCAGACCCAGGTACATCATTGTCACTCTGGGCAGTTATTGCTCCATCTGGACCAAAATGCCTAGCATTGCAAATGAATCCTTTTTCAAGCGATTCATTTCCAAATGAACCATGCATGGAACTTGAAGCTTCACTGAAAGAGGAAACCAACTGAGTGCTAGTGTCATCTTTGTTAACATGTTGATTATCTATGACTAAGCTGTCTTCCAATTCTCTACCCAGGTCGGCACCATCTGATGAAATAAGAGTACCAGGATCTATCATGAGATCAACAATGCACTCCCTGCAAACATGTGGTATGTTACAATGATGATGTATTAATGCAATGCCAACTTTCATTACCCATTGCTAATACAAGGTGCTGAAATCAGAAATCTAGACAAAACTATTCTAATCCCTAATATCCAAGTACTGAAAGAGACAGCTTGTACTATCAAGGAACTGGTAAGCAAAGTACCTTCCATCATTAAATTTCACAATGTTCAAAGCACCATCATCTGATCCAGTGTACTCCCTTCCTTTAACTAGTCGGCAAGGAACAGCAAGGCTGTCTGCCAAAACCTAGATGCAAGTATGTGGAGAAAAGAATTAAAATACTGAAAGGCCACAAAAGAGTAAGTCTTGTGAGCTGAGTACATAACAAAAAATAAGTCAGGTTTTATGCTAATAACTAAACAAGAAAGCGAACATCTCAAATTCTGTACTGAACAAGATATTACATTTCAAAATGATTGCCATCCACAACTGCATTTTTCATGCTTACTGTTCATGGCAAACTTCATAGTTACAAAATTAATGTGCCTCAGATTGCTGTCCATATTGCAATTTGTTACTGACCTTAAAAAGCAGTGCACGGTGACGAGCCAAACCAACTGTTAGCTTCCCAAGAGGAATAACTGCACTTTTTATATCAGCTTTCAATGCACTGCTCATATTCTGGTACTTCAACAGCATGCTTTCTGGATCAATGACTGGTCCACCCATGTAGTTGGAAACTAAATTAGCTAGAGTCTGAACCAAAGAGTGGCCAACAAATTCTGATTCGTGCGAGCGAAATTCCAAAGACATGATAAATGCCTTCTGCTCAAGAGCTACGAGTTCAGAATCTAGTGCTCTGTTGACCAATACAACATCGGTTTTGACTCCATGTGAAAAAGGAAGTGCTTGCAGTTCCATCAAAGAGGGTATGGTTGATAATGCGAGCTCATCCCCAGTGGCACAAATGTCATAGAAACCATCCAAGATTTTGTCGTCATAGCTAAGGGCATTGAAACTCTGTGAAGCACGAACAAATCTACCATATGAGGAAGTGAGAAAATGGTAAGTCACAAATATATAGGGGGTTTAACTTCTGAACGATCTCTGAAGGAGAACATCTTATGGTGGCTATCACCTGCTGGCTATCTCTAGGATATAGAATGAGTATTTCAGTGCATTGCAAATGCAGCTTCTACAAAAGTATGGGCATCCAGTAGTTACTAGTATGAAGCAAGGCAGATGTTCATTATGCTAAAAAACAATTGAACTCGCTACAAAATTATGGAGTATTTTTTCAGTCAAAACAGAAAAGTTTAGATCACGAAGGATAGATAATCCAAGGTGTACTATTCCCAACTAACATAATTTCAGAGATACCAGAAAAGGAATTTTCATATATGCCATATCGAGATAGTTTATTATATAATTACACTACCCCATGCCATACCCATTCCATTACAGAATATAATTCAACGGCTATCAGAAGAACATCGCCATGATGGATAGCATCATGCAACAGACCTTTGACCAAGCTAATATATGAATGACAGACCCCATTTCTGCTCTAACATCCAATTTGCATGAACACAGCACGAGTGAGATACCATCGCGGTAAGAAAAACAATCTAGTCTAGAAGATAGTGGGAGGGGAGTGGACATGCTGAGTACCCAGTATCGGAAGGCGACGACCTCCGCGGGCGAGCTCTGGATGGGGCAGGAGCCGAGGCTGATCTGCTTGGCCACCTCGATCTGCATCGCCTCCGGGTCCTCCCTCACGCTCATCTCGAGGGCCAGCTGCATGTGATAGTCCTCCAGCTCCGCCTCCCGCTTCTCCTTCTCCATCTCCATCTCCATCTCCATCTCCGCCTCCCGCCTCCTCTCCTGCTCCGCCTCCTCCTTCAAGGACTCCCGCCTCGCCCTCTCCTCGTCCTCCTCGGCTGCCCTCCTCTCCTCGACAGACGAAGCCAACGCCGACTCCTCCTCCACCTCCGGCGCCGCCGCTGCTGCCGTTGTAGCTGCAGAAGCAGGAGGCGGCGGAGGTGGTGGTGGGTGCTGCGGCCGTCCGGTCACGGAGCTGAGCCAGCCCGACAACCCGGAGGCTTGCCTGTGCTCGATGCCAGTGCCACCGCCCTTCTTCGTTGGCGGCGGGGGAGGTGCCGACGGCGACGAGGCGCCGTCCCCGGCGGCGGAGTCGCCAATGTGCAGCTTCCTGAGGAAGTTCTTCATGCCTCTGCCGCCGCCACCGCCGCCCCTGCAGGGAGCTACCCGTGGTGGGGCGGTGGATCCAACAACATGGCTACGGGTGCGGGGGCGGGCAGGAGGTGGAGTGCGAGGATCGACGTGCCGCATTAAATTATTCCCGTTAATTGCTTCGCCCGCTGCAACTGGCTGCTCGCCCCAGTTGCGTCGCGCCTGCTTCTCCTGTTCTCCTGTGTCCTCTCCCTTCCTTGTCACTTCTGCCCCCACGAGGCCACGACGAGCTGACGCATGCCGTGAATCAAATCAAATTCATTTTATTGTAGTATATATAATTCGTTGAAAACTCAAATTCGGGGTTAGAGTGTGATTAGTGGTAAGCAGCGAGTAATCAATATGGAAAGGCACCCGGCTGGCGGCTGGTCACTTTCCACCTACACGTAGATGACAGGTCGGGCCAGTACTGTATAGGCCCACAAGTCAATGACTGTACTAGCTGGCGCCTGCGTGACGTAACCTGACCGCGTGTACGAAAAAAGCAAAAAGGGCGACACGCAGGACGGGGTGACCGGGTGAGCGCGGAAAGGGAAGGCGAGCAAGCGGTTTTGGACGCTCGGGTCCCGCGGGAGACCCACCCCCCAAGCCGGCTCGGCTCATGCCGGTGGGACCCGAAACGGTCGGCCCACTTGCCGTCGTCGGGTGGCCTGCAGCCTGTCGCTCTGCAAGCAGGCAGCGCAAGTTGGCCAATGGCCAGTGGTGTGGTGTACTACTGGGCCCTCAAAATTCTAAGTTTTTTCGCTCTCTCTCCATCACATCAATTTTTAGTTGTTTGTATGGAGCATTAAATGTAGATAAAAAAAATAACTAATTGCACAGTTTAATTGGAAATCACGAGATGAATCTTTTGAGCTTAGTTGGTCCATGATTGGATAATATTTACCAAATAAGACGAAAGTGCTACTATTCATTAGGTGAAATTTTTTTCAATCTAGTGTGGCTTTTGCCCCTCGCCCCCTCGTAAGCTGCGCGCCCACCACCATGCAGCCGAGCAGGCCCACACTCAGAAAAATAAGATAGACAGTACTACCGCCTCTATCCTAAATTACATATAGTTTTGACTTTCTAGTATAGTTTTTTTCTACACCTAAATATACGATAAGTCTAGATACATAATAAAAGTTGTGCTATCTAAAAAGGTCAAAACGACCTATAAATTAGAACGGATGGAGTATAATTTAATGTTCTCAAATATGCATGTATAAGGGTCACATAACAATAACACATATGAAGTGATTGGTCTTATGTTTATTTGCATGTCATATGTGTTTGCACGTTAATATGCATATTTGATAATTAGTATAGTAGGTGCATTAACGTAGCCCAAGGACATGTAATTGTTAAACATATCCTACGTAGATTAAAAATAGGATGAAAAAAGGATGCATATGAGTTCATCCCGAATGAAAACATGATCTTGTGAAAAAGTAGATGGCAAAGCTCCCTCTCCTGTTTCCCGTCGTGTTCCCATATTTTTCTGTAAATATGAAAATGGACGGAACACAATAGAAAAAAGGTTGGAACGAGATTCATTCCATTTGTTTTCATCCCTAGTCTCTCCATCCCAAATTAAATGAACTTCTAGGATTTGTTGAGGAGATTAATAGTACTATGAAATTACATGTATACTCCTATGACAAGTTGTTTTTAGCATGTAATAATTACACTTTGGGAGTAAAGAAAGTAGTAAATCCTACTAGGGTTTGGTGATCCCATATCTAGAAGTGTATTTATTTTGGGACAAATTTTGAATGCTAGAAATGTACTTAGAAGTATTAGGCACCTTCAATGGTGACTTATGAGCTAACTCTAAGCATATTATTTTTGTTTTTTAATACAAGAGATAAAAAAGCTATCTCTTGATCAAGAGCTAGTCGCATACACTAATTATAAAATTACGTGAGGTTGTCACGTGAGGTTATTCGTATTACGAGCTATGTATTAAAAGTTGATATAATTGGAGAAGTTGTCTCATAGTTAGTAACTATCTACTTTATCGTTGATGGTGCCCTTATTAGAGTATATATCCTAGAGCCTTTTCAAAACTTATTCTCGAAATCCGTATTTGAGGAGTTATCTAAATAAAAATTGTTCAATATATCTTTGCACACTCACAGGCTCTTTATATCTTGTGTGCATTTTAGAGAATTATCTCCACTCTTTGTCTTTTCCTACCAAAAAGTTGTTGAAAAAACTCTGTGATCAAAATGTCTTTCTTTCAATACCGAAGGATATATAAAATACTTCCTCCGGTCCTGTATATCTGGCGCGGCAAGGTTAATTCCAGAGACCAAGAAACGTATTAATTGCATGTTAACAGCCGCGCCGCATGCATGAACCTGCCGAGAGAAAGCGCTTCCTACCTCATCGCTCGTAGGTGAAAAAGGCAACCTCCTGAGAGTACGCATGCACGATCCGCTTCGTTGCTAGCCACCGTGCATACAATGCTTCGTTTCTGGCCATCCGTTTAAACTACACACTCACAAAACCGTGGTTTATAAAGAAAAAAGTCATAAGTGGAGTTTCTAAAACTTTAAAAAGACTACAGTTTTGACAATACCATGGTTTTAGAGACTATAAGATTTGTTGCATCCAAACACCTAATAACTTTAAAAAACCATGGTATTTCTCTAATACTTTAAAAATACTTTGCATCCAAATGGACCTAATTAATTTATTCTATCACAGTCCGCCAGATATTATGGTGGTGTTAAAACGAAAAATGCCTGTACGCCGGATATACCGGACTGGAGGGAGTAAAACAATAGTTGAAGTTGCTCTTCTAGAATAGAGGGAGTAGGTGGATTTTTTTTCACAACAAATCGGGACTGCAGGACCCATGTGGCGCAGCCGGCAGCCACGAGCGAAACCATTATCCGTCGGCGAAAAAATGCCTGTACGCCAGATATACCGGACTGGAGGGAGTAAAACAATAGTTGAAGTTGCTCTTCTAGAATAGAGGGAGTAGGTGGCTACGTGTGTGGCGGGACTGCGGGACCCATGTGGCGCAGCCGGCAGCCACGAGCGTGTGGCCCGTCGGCGAACGGGCAGGCAGGAAGGCTCGTTATGTTTTTTTTTTCGGACAGGTTGGGTGGGTCTGGGTGCGTTGCGTGCCCTCGCATTGGCTCTCGTCGTTTGTTTCTAGTGGTGCTTTCACGCGGGCCTATATGTGATGTGGCGGTGGCGCGACTCGGAGCGTAGTTTACGGGTGCGTGCACGTGGAAAGTTCGTGCGGCCATGGTGGCATTGAAGATTCTGCGTCCTAGGCTAATCGCCGTCGTTGCTAATTGCTAAGGCCCGTTTTATCTCAATTCACACGTGTTAAAGTAAATTTGAGTGAAATTAAACTAATTTTCATTCTATTTTACTCTAACATACGTGAATTAAAATAGATATACATATATCCAAACAAGGTCTGATGTTATACCGTATACGTGCACATGAACAGAAATTACCCCCTTTTCTCACGTCTTGTCAGATTTAACGTTCCATTTTTTGTGATATAAGGAACGTTGCAAAAAGTTAAGCTTGTGGTCGCAGTTGCCGGCAAAACGGTGTTATTGCCATTTTTCTCTCTAATCTTCAAAGTCGTACCAGACTTTTGAGATGCATTGAAGAATATTGGTTGATTTTAGAATAGTACACATGCAGACACTTGGGGTGTGTTGGATTGCTGAATGAGAATTGCATCGTATTCACATGAGAGGATACAGACTGACTGTAACCGTATTTTTAGAAAAGATATATAGTGTTTGATGAAGTTATCTGAGTGGATAAAGAAAAGTTGAAATGTTATTTGGTTGACCACATAAGCAGATACAATATGTCGAACTAGCGAGATTAGCATGTGGACCTCGTACTCTATCCCTGCATTCACCGGGTGCGAGTGAAGCTTAAATTAGACATATCTCCTCAACCATGCATTTGTATCCGCTCATACAGACATACAAAGTATAGACAAGCAAATACGTACGCTGCTCGTTTAGTTCTCTACAGCTTCACTCATGCAACGAAGCAAACCAACCAAAAACATCCTTATATCACATTATTAATGAAAAATATACATTGAACCTTTAGTTCCATATGATCAGCTCCTTCCAACTGATACTCTATTTTGGTTTTCTATTTTCGGTTGGCAACAATATAGGCATGTTTGCTTGAACTTATCGGCATGGCTTATCAGTCATGATACATTATTTTTCTCTCATAATAAAACAACATCAGCCGACTTATTAGCCGCAAAAATCATCAGCCAAACAACACATAATCATCTTCATTAGACCTGAGCAAAACATATGCGGACCCACACATTACTGGAAAAAAGGACAGCGAGAAGCTAAGTCCATGAAAATCTTCTCGTCTAAAACTATTTATTTTAATTATTTTGAACAAATAAAAGAACACACCTAACTTTGCCGTACGTTGCTAGACACGTAGTTCTGCAAAAAAAAATCTCGAGCTTTCTTCATTACCCATCTAATAAAAGTATGTGTTTGTTGACAATTGTTAATAGTTAACCTAGCATAATGTTAAATTTTTATTGATTCAATTTATTAAATAAAAATGAAAAAAAGTAAAGAAGCTTACGTGCAGCCGGATGGCCGATAGACTCGTATCAGAAGTTGAGTCAACAATCGTATCGGACAAATTTTTAGGGCCGACATGGAAAATGTAACCATCCACGCGGAAGGTGCTATCGGTGGTAGGGGCGAAAACGGTACGGGTATATTTTTTTTTGACCGTATTCGAGACCGAATCTGTTTAGAGGAAGTTCAAATCTGTCTGTATTCGAGTCCGGATATTAACATCCGATATCGTATCCATAACCGAATAATCAAATCGCATATTTATGATGTCGATATCCAATCGTATCCTATCCGTCATGGTTGACAATATCCGTATTCGAATCCGAATCCGGATAAAAATATAAAAACAAATATAATATCAGTGATATCCGTTCGTATTCGATCCGT